GTAGGTACTTTTGTTGCAAGGCAATCTGAATGCCTTCTGCTGGTGATCTCAGAGCTGTTTTGTGTTGTGAAGTTTAAAGGCCACGATGTAATAGCTACCTGCACAGAAGAAGTGAACTCTGCTGAAATAAACAAGTCTCTTTCCAAAGAAGCCTGATTAGGGTTTTGCTGTTAATTGGCACATTAATTTGCATGCCAGAAAATAGGAAAGAAAGGGGGGGGGAAAGGCCGGCCCACCTACAAAGCTATGCGTTTGCTTTCCCCCCCGATTTGCGTCGAGCCGTTTCTTAAGCACAGCTGCCAGGAAGGGGAAGTGAAATACATAGGACGACCACCTGTGTGTGTGTGTGTGTGTGTGTGTGTGTGTGTGTGTGTGTATCCGGGGGGGAAAGCAAACGCATAGCTTTGTAGGTGGGCCGGGCCTTTTCCCCCCCCCTTTCTTTCCTATTTTCTGGCATGCAAATTAATGTGCCAATTAACAGCAAAACCCTAATCAGGCTTCTTTGGAAAGAGACTTGTTTATTTCAGCAGAGTTCACTTCTTCTGTGCAGGTAGCTATTACATCGTGGCCTTTAAACTTCAAAACACAAAACAGCTCTGAGATCACCAGCAGAAGGCATTCAGGTTGCCTTGCAACAAAAGTGCCTACTTTTTGTTTTTCGCTATTTTATTATTATAGATTTTGAGAGTAAGTGTATGTATGTGTGTGTGTGTGTGTGTGTGTTTGTGTGTGTATGGTGTGTGTGTATGGTGTGTGTGTGTGTGTGTGTATGTATGTATGTATGTATATATATATATAGTAAGCCCCCCAATTATGGGAGGAAACTAACTGCTTCCATCATCTGTCAATCGGCTCGTCACAAGAGTCCATTATGACAGAAACCCAATATATATATGTATATTCGTAGATTTTCACAGGTGTAGGTATGCTGGTCTTGTTGTATTTGGGTCTTTTCCCATGTAAGATTGAGATTATCTTGGCAACATTTTGGCGAGATCTCACTCGCCATCTTCAGGCTGGTGTTTTCGGCTTAAAGCGTGAACAGAGCTGCCGTCTTTCTATAAATCTTGGTGGAGGTGTGTGGAGTGCTGGCTTTGTTGCTGTAAGTGGGTTGGTTGGTTGTGTTGTTACATTTTGATTAGTTGATGGAGTTGATTTATGCAGATTAGTCGGCTATTTCATAACATCCTGTGTGGCTGAGGCACTAGCTGTGTGCCCATTAGTCTTTTGTGTTGTAACGATCTGGGAATTGGGCTGTTTGATGACATCCTGAGCTCTAGCGTAATGTTATCCTGAGTCCTGTGCTGCAACATCCTGGGAAGTTGGCTGCGTTGTAACATCCTGAGCCTTTGTGTTGTAACCTCCTGAGTTCTGTGATGTAATGTCCTGAGCAGATGGCTGGGATGTAACATCCCGAGCTTTGATTTGGCTCCGAGTTTGCGGTCTGGCCATGTGTTCATGGCGTGTGTCAGTTTGCTTTGTGTGGGGGTCGGAGACGGGTGCAGCAGTTGGTGATGCCGCCGTGGTTTGGCTTCTGGATGGTGGTTGCATTNTCTCTTTCTCCCTCTCTATCTCCCTCCCCCCTTCGCTCTCAGCATTTTTTCTATCCAGTTTATATAGCAGAGGCAAATGTAGCAGCGATGTCCACCTAACAATGTTCTTAAAAGCGAACAAACAAAATGTTTTTACAAGTGAACGAGACAATAAAAAACGAGATTCTTCAAACTGCTAGTGGGAAGAGGATGCAACCAGAAATGACGAGAAATGTTGATTTAAAGCAGGGATGTCAAACTGGCAACCCACGGGCCGGATGTATCAAGTGCAGGCCACGCCCTCCCTGGCTCCACAAAGGGGAAAAAAGTCACGTGGTGTCATGTGACGGGATCGAGTTTGACACTCGTGATTTAAAGCCTAACAAGATGAACCAAGAAATGTAATGTCAAAGTAATGTGTGTATAAAGTTGCATTTAAAAAAAAAAACCTTTGGAAATCTATAGTTTCTTCTTCTTCTTTTTAATTTGCAGATGAACCCCAGAATTTCAGCTCTACTTCTACAGCACCTGTTTTGAAACCTTGTAACCACGGTAATTCATAAATCACATTTTCTTATCCTGTGTATCTATCGCTTTGTATCTCCGTCAGCAACTATGATCTTCCTTGGTTTGGCTCTGTCTAGATTAATATAATAAAGCATGAGAATTAGTTGTCCCACTTCCATTCTCTCTTTTTCCAAAACGCATGTTGATTTGCAGAGCAACACTCTTAATTCGGGTATTTCATTTCTGAAACAATTGTGATTTTATAAAAATAGATAAATTGTTGTGGAGCATTGACATGAGAACAAGAGAATGTACACAGTTGATCAACAGACTTTCTTAACGTGGTAGATGAGGCAATACAATGTGTTACTTTAAATTATTGTTTTGTTCCATTCTTCAGTTATCAATCTCAAAAGTTTAAACATATAATAATATACATGGACATAAATTATAAATGCAGCTAGCTGTTGCATTTAGAACACTATATGTATGTATGTATGTATGTATGTATGTGTGTGTGTATGTGTGTGTGTGTATATATTTTATATATATATGTGTGTGTGTGTTTTATTTGTGCTGATAAATAAATAAAGGGAGACTAGTATAGATCTATTTCAAGCTATTTAGCTCATCAGCTAGCCATACCCTTACTGGGATTTGNTCGGGAACGACTAGCATTTATGTGCGAGGGAGACCTTTACCTTTACCTAATCATTTAAAAAATATATAATGAACACATTGTGTTTAAGAGGTTAGAACGCTGGGCTGACAATTGGCAGCCTTGTGTTTGAATCCTGTTGCTGTCGCGGGGCAGGTTGAGTTCCCATCACAAGCTCCAGCTCCCAACAACCCAGTTGTTCAAAAGCAGGTACTCACATTCCACAGATATGCTCCATTCCCTGGCCATTGGTGATGTTACCGACAAATCCTTCCCCCTCGGAAACACTTCAGCGCTTCTGACCCAGAAGTATTAGCATTATGTTTAAGAAACCAAAGACATAATTTCTCAATTATTTAACAAGCAGCGTATACATGCAGATTTTTTTAAAAAAAAAATTTACTCTGGTTACAGATGGAAATTATTGCCAAGGGGATATTATGGGCACATAGTTTTTCAGCTGCTCTTGAGGCTGTAAGTGGCTTTATAAGATCCTCCAGAATTATAAGAGAAATGATTGCTTGGTGTCTAGCAGTCTTGGGGAAAAAAATCTCCTTTTCATTGCAACGTTACTTTAGGAAAAAAAAAGAATATAAAAGTTCAGCGTAATAATGTACAGGTCTAGAGTGGAAGCACTAGAGATCCATCCACTCTTTTTATCTATTAAAGAAAGGAGAGGAGCTTAATGTAGCTTTTGCAAAGGATGAATGTCAGCACTTCAGATTGTAGCCTCACAGATAAATTTCCTTCAAGCGAATTTCTGTGTGAGGACGATATCCGGTTTTCATCCAAAGCTTTAAGAAGAACGCAGCAGCGCAAGGACGACGTCGCGTTGCACTTAAAAATTCTTGTTGCCTCTTCTTTTAGGATGCGTTGTTTGTGAACTTAAATCAAACTAAGTTAAATCTGATGCAGGGAAACACGGTCACGCCCCTTGAAAAAAATTTGACGGATGAGTAAATTAAAGGTTTTCTCTGAATTTGGATCGGTTGGGTTTTCATTGACGGAGCGTTTCCTATATCCCTCTCAAGTCCTTTGACATTACTGTGGTAACCCAGAAAACAAGGAATTCCCTCCATTTCTTTTCACAGAGAAAGACGAGACAGGAGTGATGGATAGTCTGCTGGAGGCGCTTCAATCGGGGGCAGCTTTCCGTGATCGAAGGAAGCGAGCACCAAGGTTTAAAAGTAAATAATTTCATCTCTCTTCAGAAAGCAAAAAAAAAAACGGGAGCCACAAAACCTGGGTGGGCGTGGCCAACTCGATGTCACTCACTCCCACTGAGTCACATGACCCCCTGCTCAGCCACGCCTACCTAGGTTTTGTGCTTCTATGTTTTCTTCTCTATGGGAAACGGTATCTCTCTCTTTCTCTCCCTCTCCCATCTCTCTCTTTTGCCCTCTCTCTATCTCCCCCTCCCTCCTTCTCATCTCTTTCTTCTCTTTCTTCCTCCCACTCCCATCTCTCTCCTCTCTCTTTCTCCCTCTCTCCTTCTCTTCTCTCCCTATCCGTCTCTCTTCCTCTCCCTCCCTTCCTCCCTCTCATCTCTCCCTCCCTCTCTCCCATCTCTCCTTCTCCCTCTTCCTCCTTCTCTCTCTACCCATCTCTCTCCCTCTCACTCCCTTCCTCTCCCTCTCTCATCTCTCTCTCTTTATCCCATCTCTCCCTTTCTCCACCTCTATCTCCCTTTCCCTCTTTCCTCTCATCTCTTTCTTTCTCCCTCCCTCCCATATTTCCAAGTCACCTGAGGGTAGAACAAGAAGCAATGGGTGGAAACTAATCAAGGAGAGAAGCAACTTGGAACTGAGGATAAATTTCCTGACAGTTAGAACAATTAATCAGTGGAACNGCCAGAAAATCATGTCTGTCCATCCATCTCGGGAAGAATCTTTGAACTATTTAGGAAAAAATATTTGGTTTAAAGCAATGGTTCTCAACCTGTGGGTCGCGACCCCTTTGGGGGTCAAACAGTCCTTTTAGAGGGGTCGCCTAAGACCATCGTAAAACACATATTTTCGATGGTCTTAGGAACTGGGACACCAATTTTATGGTTGGGGGACACCACAACATGAGGAACTGTATTAAAGGGTCGCGGGCATTGGGAAGGTTGAGAACCACTGGTTTAAAGACTATGAAATCTGTTTGTCCTGTGGAATTTGAGAAAAATAATAATAATAATAGAAAATCACAGGAAGAAAGGAAATGAGAAATGGCATTTGTTGATCGTTTCTTTGGAATGGAATGGAATGGAACGGAATAGAATAGAATAGAGTTATTTATTGGCCAAGTGTGATTGGACACACAAGGAATTTGTCTTTGGCACATAGGTTCTCAGTGTACATAAAAAGACAAGATGCATTTGTTAAGAATCATAAGGTGCAACACTTAATGATAGTCACAGGGTACAAATAAGAAATCAGGAAGCAATCAATATCAATATAAATCGTAAGGATACAAGCAACAAAGTTACAGTCCTGCAGTCTATAAGTGTGAGGAGATGAGGGATAGGAATGATGAGAAGACTAAAGAATATAGAATAGAACTAAGGAATTTTTATAGAATAAATACAAAATAAAACACAACAATAAATGCAAAAGAATATGTTATAGAATAAAATACAAAAATGCAAAAGCAGATAGGACACGGTGGGGAGGGGAAGGGGAAAGAAAAATGAGGAGGGGAGAGAGGGGAAAAAAGGCATTGACATCCGACTCTCTGTTGCAGCAGAATAAGGCATTAGCATCGAATCTCAACTTCCATGATAATATAAACTCTCCAAGGTTCTGAAATGGTGGCCTTATTTGCTGAGTATGCTCACTGTGTACTTTTGGTTCTCCTCAAGATCTGGTCTTGTACATATTCATGCTTTCATACTGTTTTCCTTTTGAGATCAAGAGGTTGAAAAGGTGTGCTAATAAGCAACCCCCCCCCCCCATTAAATAAAGAAGAGGAATGGTAACAAGAAATATATGAGCAATAGCACTTAGACTTATATGCCACTTTTCAGTGCTTTATAGCCCTCTCTAAGCGGTTTACAGAGTCAGCATATTTGCCCCCAACAATCTGGGTCCTCATTTTACCCACCTCAGAAGGATGGAAGGCTGAGTCAATCTTGAGCCTGGAGAGATTTGAAATGCCAAATTGGAGGAGCTGGCAGTTAGCAGAAGTAGCCTGCAGTACTGCACTCTAACCACTGTGCCATTTATGGCTCATGTAAAGCGGTTTACAGAGTCAGCCTCTTGCCCCCAGCAATCTGGGTCCTCATTTTACCCACCTCAGAAGGATGGAAGGCTGAGTCAACCTTGAGCTGGTGAGAATCGAACTGCCAAACTGCTGGCAGCCAGCAGCCAGCAAAATTAGCCCGCAGTACTGCCTTCTAACCACTGCGCCACCCGGCTAAAGATAATTCTCTTTAAAAACAAGACCACCACATTTTTGTTAGATTGTAGAATAAAATACAAAAGCAGATAGTAGGACACTGGAGAAGAAGGGGAAAGAAAAGTGAGGCAGGGAGGGATAAAATATTCTATTTTCAGTAGAATAAAGCATTAACGACAGACCTCAATTGTTTATTTTTTCATAATAATATAACCTAGCCATTTCTATAATGACAAATCAATCTAGTTGGTAAAAACCAACATCAAAGCTTCATTTTTCATTCCACCTCAAGCACAGTCCAGAAGTGGTGTCCACATAGCAACAAAAGTACTTATATTCTTTTCTTTGATCAGAAAGGTCCATTTAGTCATCTCTGCCTATAAAGATAATTCTCATAATGAAAAATAATAAGGGTGGATACGAAACCTCTGAAGTGGTTTGGAGATGACCAAAATCTTTGCTTTGATCTCTCGGGTGTGACTAGTTTAATGGCAAAGAGGAGAAGGAGTGACATGATAGCATGTTCCAATATTTAAAGGGAAGTCACAAAGAAGAGAGAGTCAAGCTATTCTCCAAAGCATCTGAAGGCAGAACAAAAAGCAAGGGATGGAAACTCGTGACCTGACAAATGCGCGCATGACGAAAGCACGGCGACAAAACCGTGGCGCTAAAACCGCGATGTCATCAACGCACCGACAACAGCGTGCCGACAGAAGCACGATTTAAGTTAAGGTAAGGGTTAGGTTTAGGATTAGGGTTAGGGTTAGGTTTAGAGCGTGCTTCTATTGGTGTGCTGTTGTTGGCACACTTCAGCGCTCATTCGTCAGCCTGATTTAGAACTCGCGGTTTTGTCACTGCGGTTTAGTCGGGCGTGCTTTTGTCAGTCGCCCTTTTGTCGGTGAACCATGGAAACTCATCAAGGAGAGAAGAACCTAGAATTTTGAGGGTACATCACATTCTGATGCTACTGGTCAATGGAGGTAGCCCTCCACTTACGACCACCTTGAGCCCCAAAACTTTTATTGCTAAGCAAGACAGATGTTAAGTGAATTTTGCCCCGTTGTAGGATCTCTCTTTTTCTTTAGTTGTTAAGCATGGTTATTAACTGCATAACAATAACACAATTGTTAAGTAAGCCTGGATTTTCCACTGACTTTGCTGATCAGTAGGTCACAAAAGAATGGTCACATGACCCGGGGGCACTGCAACCGTCATGAGTACATGCCAGTTGCCAAGCACTTGAATTTTGATCACATGACCGCGGGCATGCAGCAATAGTCATAAGTGCGAAAAACAGCTATGTCGTTTTTTTTCAATGGCATTGTAACTTTAAGCAGTCCTTCAATCAATCAATAGAAGTCGGGGTCTATCTGTAATCCTCAACAATGCAGGAAGGGGATAAATTGCATGCGCCCACAAAAATAAGTAAGTTTAGCTATGACATAAGAATCTTTTTTGCATGCTTTGCTTTGTTCAGTCGAGGCTTCCCAAGAGCATGAAGCAAGCTCCTTGTCCCGACAAAAAACCCTTTTATTAATTTAGTAATTCACCGTAGATGAAGTGAATTCTGTTCGTTCACATCCAGCTAAGTCTTTCAAGGGAGGATTTACAGTCACAGACCTCATCTGCCTTGGCGAGCAGGCGATATCTGCAAAACTAGTTTCGGAGAGTCACGAACCAATTAAATGAACTAATTGTCTCCTGCAAACTCCACTCCCCTTTCGCTCCTCTTTTATTTCCTATGGGAGAGGCCATTCATCATCCACCTGTGGCCTTAGTCCCAAGTCGACCCCTGTTCTTTAGTTGTTCCCTTCTTCTGGCAAGTCTGTGCATGCGCGTACACTGGGAACAGGCTCCATCTGTTCCTCTGCCTCACTGATGTCTGACTCTGAAGGCAGCTGATAACTGGCATACAGCCCTGGCCCCCTCTCTGCCTCCAACATAGAGCTCTCATCAGGGCCTTCCCCAGACTCCAGGACTAGCCCAGGTTCCTCCCCAACCTCCTCATTGTCCGGATCTGCTGCCAGTTACGCTGACCGCTGGCGGGCCACAATATCCGGATGCTGGCAACATCCAAATACAAATTCTCCATTTTGTATTCTGGAAACACAGTGTAATCCTTTCAAAGGGGTGGACAAGTTCCACGTTCGATAACGGAGCAAGAGTGTTTATATTNGAATCATTCCACTTTTTCAGTTGCACTGTAGATGGTAGTCTTTTCCTGTTCATCTCCCGGGAGAGGAGGAGATGGGGGAGGAAATAAAAACGTATTTAATTCATCCCAATCCATCATCGGGCAGCTGTTGGGAAAGTAGCATTCTAAAATGCTCTCAAATGTCCAGTAGCCAAAAAAAATAAAATAAATAGATAAATAAATGAAGGGCAGAGTGCATTAAGGGATTTCCAGCCGAGTCTCAACAGGGCAGAAAAAAACGGCTGCGTGAGAAAATCTCCTGGGACACATTATGGTTCTTGCTGCCTTTAGCAATAGCTTCCTAACTAATCAGTCCGGCTTAACACCCAGCTTTCAAAGCTTGAACTGTTCCCCTGTTTGCTCGGCACTGGCTGAAATTGGGACGCCGCCCATGAATCTCTGACTTAACCCCATTTCACGCCATCCAGGGAACAATCATAATGGCCCTTTTATTCCTAGGCACTGATCCTCCCCGCTGTGAAATTATGCTCGAGTTGAAACACTCTTTAACTAAAGCGCTTGAGAGCCTGCATCTCGCTGAATCGGAGGGCAACTGCGAGGATGATTTGAACATCTCGAGATAAAAATACATATCCACATTTCTAAATACTTTTG